GCAGCATGAGCCGCCCTAAGTGACTTCACTTTTGCCGACAACTGCTGGCAAAATGGCACAGTCCAAAAGGGCCTTGTGAAGAGGTTGTAAGTCTCCAAATCAGCAAAAAACCAGCTGTCCCCTGCTCAGTGTGATATTCTTTCATATATTTAAGCAAGGGTATCTTTTCTCCGTGATAAACCTACTCAGCTGCCTCGGCTTTCAATCATAGGACTTGGTTTCTATACCTTTGCTCATTTTGGCCACCCTTCTCTGGAAACATTTCAGCTTGTCAATATCCTTCTTGAATTACTTTGCCCAGAACTGGACACAAGGTCAATATTCTAGGTGAGGTCTAACCAAAGCAGAATAGAACAGGACTATATATGACTTCCAGACACTATCTTCCTGTTCATAGAATCCTAGAATCAATGAGTTGGAAGAGATCTCATGGGCCATCCAGTCCAACCCCCTGCCAAGAAGCAGGAATATTGCATTCAGATCACCCCTGACAGATGGCCATCCAGCCTCTGTTTAAAAGCTTCCAAAGAAGGAGCCTCCACCACACTCCGGGGCAGAGAGTTCCACTGCTGAACGGCTCTCACAGTCAGGAAGTTCTTCCTCATGTTCAGATGGAATCTCCTCTCTTGTAGTTTGAAGCCATTGTTCCATTGCATCCTAGTCTCCAAGGAAGCAGAAAACAAGCTTGCTCCCTCCTCCCTGTGGCTTCCTCTCACATATTTATACATGGCTATCATATCTCCTCTCAGCCTTCTCTTCTTCACAGACACAGCCTAGAATCCCATTGGCTTTTCTAGCTGCTGCATCACACTGTTAATACATGTTCAGCTTGTGGTCTAGTATAAGGTAGGGGAAGATTCTCAGTTAACTGATTACAAACAACTTTTGTGCTTTGGACACAGTTTGCATCATTAAAAATATGCTGAAGAAAGAGGAAGGAAAGAAGAGAAAGAAACAGGGACATTTTAAAAGCAGCAGAAGAAGTGAGATGCCTCGTGATTAATTGGGACTATCTCTTTTAAATTGGGACAGTCGGAGGATATGCAGGCCTGGTCAACACATGGATCAGAAATAAAAAAATCACATAGGGATCACTGCAAGCAGGTTTTTTTACCATTTCTCTCGTGGCATGAAAGGAAAGTACTTAGCATTTAGTAAGTAAAGAAGTGCTTGCCATATGAGAAATAGCATCCAAATTGGTGAAACATTGCTATTTGCTATGAACAATATTTATTTATTTCATTTCCAGTATAGGATCCAAGGAGATTTACAGTGTAGGTTAAAACTAAATGCAGGTAAAACAATATATAGCATAAAATTTTAAACCCATTAAATAGGGAATCCAATAAAATACATTTTGAAAGCCTTTTTAAAATGTGTTTAAAATATCATAAAGATAAAAGTTGGGCACATTCCATTTAGAGGGGAAAATACTCTGTACTAGTTTAGAGCAGAATAGGCTTTGAAAAAATGCAATAGGAGACTAAATAAATAGCAAACCCTCCAATTTTCCAAAGATGAAAACTGGGGCATGTGTGGCTAAGCAACATCAGAGTGTGGTCAAGAAACCAAAAGTTATTAGTAACAAAGAACACATAAGTTAGCAGAGGCTGCATCAATACATGAGCTTTGCAACATTTTCCCCTTCCTTCTTTTATGCATCAAAACCCTTAAATTCTACTGCAGGCCATTCTGCTTTCAAGTATGGCCCATAAGCTTCTAGCACCACTTCTGTGTCTCCAAGGACTGCCCAGGGATCAGACTTCTTTTGCAATGTTCTCCCAATGCATTAGGGGAGGCAGACTAAAAACCAGTACTGTTGAAACAGTAGCGTTATCCTTCTAAAAGGTCTTTGCATGAATCATAGAATCAAAGAGTTGGAAGAGACCTCATGGGCCATCCAGTCCA